CTAATACAATTATTTCCCTAAGTTCATCATTCGAATCCAAGTGTTGTTGATAAGACGAGGATAAATTTTCTCAAACTAGCCAAGTTTGAGGGCATTTTCAATCAAGACCCATGTGTGATGTTACCTGACACATACTATGGGCGAAAGTCATTATTTGATGAACTTCTCAAAAGTCGAGTTTAAAGGGCGAAAGTCATTATTTGATGAACTTCTCAAAAGTCGAGTTTAAAAGACTGTAAACAAAACGCTAATAGGAGGCAACCCATAATTTTCTTGCTTTTCCTTTGCAATTTTTTTTATTTGTATTTTTCAGTTTTTTTTCCATCTTTAAACCATTCTTTTATTTTGATCTTTTACACTCATGTTCCAGGTCAAGAAAGGATTCAAGAGGGCTTGAAAACTGATTAGAAGTGCTAAAGTCAGGCTCTAGCACGTGCAGGGTGTGCTACCCAACACCCCTGTGCTATCTCTAGAGAAAAATTATGCTTAGAGTCAGGCTCTAGCACGGACAAAGCATGCTACCCTGCACCCCAGGCCGTGCTACCTAGCACCCCCATGCTACCTAGCACCCCCATGCCATGTTGCAGATTCAATTTTTACAAGGGCGGATTGACTTTGAAAATCCCGCACAAATCCAACCCTAAGTCTTCCCTTCTCTTTTCAAAGCCTTAACCGCCCACTATACCTCGTCACACATCCTCTCCAACTCTCTCTAATCTCCTCCACCACCTGCAAAGTAAAAATGCTTCCTGTTTCTTTTACTTTTCTTTTTTATTTTATTTTATTTTTGTGTTTTTGTTATTTTCAACTCCTGTTGTTTTATTTTGTTTTGAACATTGTTCTAGTTTATTTTCAGTATGTGGGATATTTTGTTCATTTTTATTTTCTATAGTTTCTTCCACTTTCAGAATCTAGCCCGGATCTCATCCAATCTTTTCCATGAATATTATTGTATTTTTCAATGCAATGGTGGTAAGGCGTTTTCAAATCTATTTTTATTTTTGCACCTTATTTTGATAATATATGATAAGTTCGAAAAAGTGGTATTATTTTTGCAAACATTGGGAACAATGTGGTAGATTAAGTTGGGAAAAGAAAAATTTTAGTTTTATTTGTTTCATTAGCTTAATATGGTTGGAATAATTGTGAACAAGCTTGAAAATTATCATAATTTAATAACTTGTGATAAATTTAGTTGACTTAATATGGTTGGAATAATTGTGAACAAGCTTGAAAATTATCATAATTTAATAACTTGTGATAAATTTAGTTGTTTTCGAAACTATTTGTTTTTAGCTTTAAGTTTAATGTTTGACTTAACACGATTCTTTGGTGATTTTTATGGTAAATAGCTATGCTTTGATCAAATTTTATTTAACTTTGACATTCCTAAAACAAATTAGAATTTCCTTTGAGGCAAAGTTTCAAATGCTTATATTTAGAAAGAAATGATTTAGGCATTCTTTGTTGAACTTCATATTTAGCCTAGTCCAACCTAAGTTAAATATGACATTTGCAACCAATTTAAAGCCTATATCGAAATTTTATCATTAACCTTTGTTTAACCTAGCCATTAAACCAAGTTCAAATCCTTACCCTAAGTACAAGAGTGTATAATTATGAGGTTTAGCTACATTACAACATAAACAAATAAATAAATAAAAAAGAGAGTCCACTCATTGATGCTAGCAATTAGAGAAAAAAAATCATCCAATGAAATAAAAAGTAATAAAAATTCAAGTTTGGGGAATTATTGCAAGGAAGTTGTTACCAAAATATTAATATTAAGAAGCATAATCCTTGCCAAATTGTCTCTAATGTTGTGCTAGTAAATTATTCCATATTAATCTCTCTTTTGAAAAAAAAAATGTTTTGATGTCATGAAAACTTGAGATTATGCATTCTTTGTACTTTTTGTGTATCCTTTTATCCTTTTTCCTTGTTTAGCTAAATATACCCCTAAAACCTATTACAACCTAATTAAAGACCTTTTTAATCTTTCTAATTGTATGCATTTCAATTGTGGAGAAGGGATGACTACATTCGTTTATGGAAATGTTCAAATTATATTTATCATCATCTTATCCAGGGTTAATAATTTTTAAAAATTCATATTTTATTTGTCATAAATTGAACAATTATTGGTGTTGAAAACCTTATTAACTCTTGTTTAAATTAAAAAATGTGTTTTATTGAGAATTGAATTATTTGCAAGAAAATAATTAATATAGAAAACACTTGACTTATTCTCATGTTAATAATTTTTTATATATTTTAGATTGTGAATAATTGTTCCCGAGCATATTAAACTAGCTTTGTTAACTTGTTTAGTTTGTATTTTTTTTTTAATTTTGTTACTTGAGGACAAGCAACGGTTTAAGTTTGGAGAATTTTGATCGGTGTTATTTTTATAGTATTTTTATGTAGTTTTTATTAGGATTTTTAGTATTCTTAATTACTTTAATTAGTTTTTATTTAGTTTTATTTATGATTTTCTTTAAAGCTTTCTTGAATCATATTTAACTTAATCTTGAAGAATTCAGTATGATTTTTATAGAAAACCAGCCAAAAATGTAAAAGAGGATCAGTTGTCAAAAACTTTCAACAAGTAGCACATCCAAGGCGTGCTATCCACCACCCCTGTGCTACTCTACAGAGTTCAACTTGGGGCGAGATTTCATATTAAGCTTGTGATGCCCATATAAAGATATTATGGGATGTACCTTATTAAAGCTGAAGTCTTATTTAGATGCTGAAAGAGTCCTAATTAGGAAGAAATACAAAACCTAAACAATTTCCTATCTCCAAAAGATTTCTTCCTTAATAAAAATTCACTTTCCTAAACGAATTCGAAGATATTAAACAATTTCCTATCTCCAAAAGATTTCTTCCTTAATAAAAATTCACTTTCCTAAACGAATTCGAAGATATTCTAAAAAGTCTATATAAAGAGAGAGACTAGCCACAGTCGGGGGATCCATCCATTGTACATTCCATCTCTGGTTCTATTATTTTCTACTTAGTTTTCTCTTTCTGTAAAATTTCAAGTGCTCAATTTTGTGAAAGGAATCAAGGAAGCCGTCCACACTATTTGTTGACTAGTTTTTATCTCTAAACTCTTAATCTTTTTTTTTACTTTTCATCATTCATATTGATTATAGAATTATTTTCAAGTTTAATTGAGTTTTATTTGATTACTATGTCGAACTAAACTCTCATACTAGAGATTTGATGTAGCTTAATTTCTATTCCAATTTATAATATTGGATTTGTTTTTCCTTGTTCAAAGTATAATTTATTATTTAACTTGATGCTTCAAGATAGAGTTTCTCCTTGGATTGATTTATTTCATTAATTACTATCGGAAGAAGTGTTTTTGATATAAAAAAGGTAATAAATAACACGGGAATAATAACTTGATGCGGAAGCTATAAGGTTTGAGTCATTGGGGGTTTTTATAAGTTAATGACCTTAGGTTATAAATTCTTAAATAAACCATAAAACTTAATGATTTAATTCATGTTTGATTGCGCTATTGGATTAGAAGATAGGTAATTAGACCGGGTTAAAATAGCTAACAATACATCGGAGAGCTTGTTAGTGATTTTAGGGTTGCTTCCTCTACTTGAAAAATTAAAATTGATTATCAAACAAATAGAATAAATTGGATATAATTAAGTGAAATCAAACTTCCTAGTAGTTTTTAACCTTTGATTTCCTTTTCATCAAATTGTCTTGCTTGATTTCTTTTTGTTTTCTTTTATTTCTTTTAATTTAATCTCTTAAAGTAATTCTCCTTATTATCATTTAAATAATAGTAGGTTAACACAAGTAGATTAACACAATTTTGGTACTTGGTGTACAGTTTTCCTGGGACGATACTTGACTCACTCTTTATTACTTGGTTGCAATTTCATACACTTGCAGAAAAAGCCTGTCAAATAGCATCGCACCCCTGTCTGTGTTAAAACTAAACTCAGTCTTGGTGATAGTTTTCCATTAGTGGATCATTCTTTATATCGGCAAATTGTTGGTGGGTTACAATATCTCTCTCTCACTCAACCCAATGTGTTGTATGATGTTCATATCGTCTCTCAATTTCTTCATGCTCCTGCTGATAATCATTGGACTACTATTAAAAGAATCTTGCGCTATCTTAAAGGGACTCACACTCATGGTTTGCATATTATAAAATCATCCCATAATGCACTGAATGCCTATGTAGATGCTGATTGGGCATCTAATCCCATCTACAGTAAATCTATATCCGACTATATTATTTTTATAGGGAACAATTTGATTAGTTGGTCAACCAAGAAGCAAGCCACACTAAACTAAATCTTCTATACTTTTTATGGGGAACAATTTGATTAGTTGTCAACCAAGAAGCAAGCCACACTAAACTAAATCTTCTATACTTTTTATGGGGAACAATTTGATTAGTTGTCAACCAAGAAGCAAGCCACACTAAACTATTGTTTGGTTACAGTTCTTGATTATAGATATTGGTTTTTCTTCACTTAAATGTCCTCTTCTATGGTGTGATAATGTTGGTGTCACACCTTATCCCACTGTAAGACATGGCATGTCGCCCATAATATTCTTATTAAACATTTATTTAACATAAGGACTCAATAAACATACTACAATGGACTTAACTTTAATATTCAAAATACATATATTGTAAAAATTTTAAGGCTATTTTAAAATCATTTTAAATATCATAGAAATCATACTTATAAAATTCCAAACTAAATAAATTCCTTTTATACACAAGACATAAATGTTTCATCATTTAAAATGTCTTAACTAAAGTTCTCTTATAAATTACACATTTACATATTCAAATATATTGGTGAAACCCTTACTCATAAGCCCATTAGAAAGAAGATTACATACTGGATTGTTATTACATACTGGATTGTTCCTTTAGAGTTAATATTAAAAATAATAAATTAGTTTAAAGGTAATTACGCCATTCGAATGCTTTATAATGTATATCAGTGATTATAAACTTATATAACTTTCAGTCGCATTAGTCTACTAAATATATATATAATAGTGACCAGTTTCTGTCTTATACATTATACAAAAATTCCAATAAGTTTGCCAATAAGGTAATAGCTACTTCAGTAGCTCACCTTCCATATGCTACAGAAGGGACTTAGCACTCTGCAGGTTCAATCTCCTACTTACTCCTTTCCTTCTTCCTGCGATAGTATAGAAATAACTATCGCTAAGCATAAGACTTAATAGTGCCATTGGATATTTAAGTTGTTTAAATGTGAAAAATAACTTCAATATTACCTCTCATAAGTCAACTCTTATCGTTTGCTTACTGAAAACAAACCGGTTAAATAGAAGTAACAAGTAGTCATATCAACTAAATTAAATTCATTTGCTCACCAAAAATAATCAATTTATATGAAGATATTATGGCATATCAATACAATCATCAATCAATAGTTTTGTCTCCACACCTTATGCAGACTCAATCCGAAAGGCCATCACTGTCTTATGAGCTCATAAAGACAAAGCTATCTCAACCGCAATCTGTGATATGAATATCAATAGAAGAGGGACAATCTCAACCTCATTTAAGAGAGAACAATATCATTTGCAATATCATTTATTGCATATCCATATCAATCACAAATATCGCATATTCAATCACAATATTAACTTCAAGAAATGAAGTGATATTAGCAGGGTAATAACCATGTCATAATATCACTTCACAAAATGAAAGTGATATCAGGTAATAAACCATGTCATGCAAAATTTAGCTGGTGAGACTCTTAAAACTTATCATTATAAAAGTGTAATCCTTAGTTATAATGAGCAGCTTTCATTTTGTTCAAAATTTTCTATATCCATTCTTTCAAAAATTCATCCTCCATTTTCCCATTCAAATGAAGTACTTTGATTCATTTCCAACTATTATAAAACATTTTACATTAGGCTCTTTAGTATTTTGTGTAACATTTTAACTATAACTTTAGCATTTGCCTTTTAACTATAACTTTAGCATTTGCTTTCTTTATAATCAATTCACAATTGCAATAATCACATTTGAATTCAATTTCATTTGATATAAACATTTGATAAATAAGTCAACTTTTTCTCTTGTAAAAGTTCATTTGATATAAACATTTGCTTTCTTTACCTTGTAACTTTTCATAAAATATTTTTTAAAACTATTTTACTTATCACTTAAACAGTATAAATTATAGATATAATGCACTAACATGAGCTAGAAGACTCCCCTAGCTCCTCTCCTTTACCTATTAACTTCTCTTTCTAATTATCTCCTCTTAGAAGCTGTAGCATGAAATTAATATTTATATTAACTCCATACTACATATTAGACCTACACATATTACCATAAGGATGCAAATTTAAGCATGAGAATGTAGTATTCATGTTTTTCCTTTAATTTCTCTATTCTTGACCAAGTACCATTTATCTTTATTTTAGGCATGAACTCTTTTATTTCTAATACTTAATCTCATCCTAGAATCATAAAAATAATAACTAAAATAATAACTTAAAAGTATGCTAAATTCATTACTAACTAATAGTATACAAGGTTTTGATCACAAGAGCAGTCAGACTTCCTTTGGCTATATCTCTAGTTTTTTAAATTTGTTTATCCTGAAATTTTTGCAGCATCTTCCTCACATCTCAGGATACTTCCATATATAATTTCATAATTTTTAGAGTTCATTTGCATAGTCAAATAGCCTAATCAGAGTACCTAAATTTCAGTCGGGCTTTCCACCGAGCAGCCTGCATCTATTTAGCTATAACTCCATTTTTCTTTATCCATTGCACTTGCTCTTTTATCCCAACCTTTCAACATCCTAAAATAGTTCTCTATAAAATTTTATAATTTTTAGAGTTCATTTACCTATTTAAATAAGTCAATATTTGTGACTGAATTTTCAGGCAACTTATTTTTAATAACCTTTCAATAAGTTAATCTTTGTTATCTCCTTCCATCAATCATGAAATTTTAATTCTATATTCTTCATTAGCTCATCATATATTACTGTTAAACTACAGACTCAGCCATTAGACATCATCCCTTCAAAACTTCTCAATTTGGCCGAACCATCAACAACACCAAACCAAAAAGATTTCGTCACTTCAATTCCAAACATAAACTCACCGTTAAACCAATTTAAACAAATTATCATAATCTCAAATTCTAATTAGATTTACTTAATTATAAAAACTCCAAATTCATAAATTCATTTTCAAGAACCCTAGAATTCAATTAAAAGCATACTTTGCTTAAGGACATCCAAACTATGTTTAAATGCGTAAAATCATATTTAAGCCCCTTGTTTCAACCATTCTTCTCAAAGTCCTTAAATTAATTTACATTTATCATAACCATGGCTCTTTAATTAAATTTTTCTTCCTCAAAGTCCTTGAACACATTAATCTTACATTATTTCATAACCATGGCTCTTTAATGGGGAAATTCATGAAAAACCAAAGAACGTTAATCATACAATCTTGAAAATACCAAAAAATTATACTATATACTATTACTATACTTATATTATATACTATATATATACTAATATATATATATATATAAATACATATATACTATAATATATATATAATTACTTACCTTGGCAACCTATATATATTACTTACCTTGGCACCTCCTTATTTGCTTTTCACCTTGAACACTACTCCTCCTTTAACTAAAACTCAAAGTGCTTTCCTTTCTGTCTCAGTATGTTCGGCCAAATATAAAGAAGAATAGATGAGAAAGTTATGGCCAAGAATGAGAAAGCAAAGACGTTTCGTCAATTATAAAGCAAAATCAAGAGGTGGCATGAGGAAGAGGTGGGATTTGTCTTCTACTTGTATAGGTGTTGCAATCTTAAGCAATTTTATTAATTCCTTCCTTGTCCTTTCCCCAAATTTCCATTCCATCCTCCTTTTATCATCATATTAAGTCTTTAATCCTTAATTAAATCTTAATTATTTAATCATACCAATTAGGTCCTTAGTTATATATACTTTAAATGGCTAATATCAATCATTTGGATGTAAATCAAGACACTAGCTAGAGGAGCTTCATATGCTAGCTTCTCGTCATCAGAGCTTAGGCTTACTTAATCTTACTCCAATTTAATTCTCTTAGCATAATTAAACTTCAATTGCATTGTAACTTAAAATTAACATTCTTATATTATTATATTAAGGTAATTCCAATTATTCTATTCTTTTTAATAGTAATAATTACCATGGTAATAAGAATATTGGAGACCGTCAAATTGGTTGGTATTACAGTCAAGGCTACCTACTTGTCTACAAATCATGTCTTTCACTGCCGAAGCAAGCATATCGAGGTTGAATTTCATTTTGTTTGAGACCTTGTTGCCAAGAAACATCTTCAGATTCGCTATATCTCATCCAAAGATCAAATTGCAGACCTTCTTACTTAAGTTGTGTCACGTTCAAGACATGCTTTTCTTTTACTTTGCTTACAATCCGTTCCATGCATGCCATATTCTTTGCAAGTTAGTTGTTCATATTTAACTTAAGTCTGTGTCCCAGCGTTCAAGACAGTGCGTTTTCTACTTTACTTCGCCTAACAATTCCGTTCTTAAGTTGTGTCACGTTCAAGACATGCTTTTCTTTTACTTTGCTTACAATCCGTTCCATGCATGCCATATTCTTTGCAAGTTAGTTGTTCATATATTTGTTAAGATATAGTCATATACTGTTAGCTTATACTATGAGATTCTTATCTCTCATACTTGTATTTAAACCCATATAACCTTTTAATCAATATTTCAAACATAAGGAATTCTTCTATTTATAACTTAAGGTCTAAATTCTTTAATCAAATAAAATCAAATATCATATTTCAGCATTAAACTTTCACAAAAAGAAGGAATCAATACCCTCACGGAAGAAGGGTTGAAAAAACTTCAAATTTGGAGACAAAACAACAATAATTAAAAAAAAAAAAAAAAGCAAAGAAAAATAGATAAGAAAGTAGATATGAGTTTACTAAAAACAAATAAAAGATCAGGAATGAAAGACAAAGTGAAAAATAAATGATTATTTTTACTTGGTAAATAACAAAGCGTAATAATGTTTAAATAATAAGATTAGTGAATGAAATAAATGTTATTTAATAATAAAACGTATAAAACAAATGTGATATATTTTCTTTACAACAACAATGATGATAATAAGGATGATGATTAATGAAAAATAATTCATTTTATTTTAAACCAATTATTTGTTTTCATTGTTAAAGTTTATTATTTTAATTATTTGACTTATGTTTCATTTATTTTCATAAAATAACTTGCACGAAAATAACTTGCTTGAAAAATATTTTTCAAATGACTTATTTTCCGTTGTTTGATTGTAATATTGAAAATTAGTTAAAAATATTAAAGTCTTTATCTAGTTTAAAAAATATAACAGTCTTTATCTCTATGAAGCGACCAATGAGAGATAATATTAAGTAGATAATAGAAATTTATTAATTTCAGGAATTTTTATTGTTTAAATCATGAGCAGAGAATGGCCACAAAAAAAAAAAAAAATGTAAATTACCACGGTCGGCCGGCGTGCGTTTAATCAAAAAAAAAAAAAAATGTAAATTACCACGGTGGCCGGGTGGTTAATGGTAGTGGTCGGTAGTAAATGGTGATTGGTGGTAGTGACTACAATGATTAATAAATTAAAAAATATTGATATTTATAAAGTTTGTCAATATCCGGAAAATATTTTATTTTCACGAAAATAGGAAGTTATTTTCCTTAAAAATGACTTAATTTTCCTTTGATGAGAAAAATATTTTCCGTTGATTTATTTTTTTAAAAACCCCAAACAACCAAAAATTTTGAAAAATATTTTCCTGCAACTTATTTTACATAAACAAACGCATGGAGTCTTAATATGATATATATTTCTATGAGGCTATGAATTGAAACCCAATTCTTATTACGACACATTTAATTTTTCCTTATCAATTGGAGAATAAGTTATTAACTTTTCTTCCAACAAAAAAAAAAAGTGACTAATTTAATTTTTTTTTCAAAAAAATTAAAACTCTTTTTTATTTTATACATGCAAGAAGAAGAAATAAATAAAAACTGAATTGAATTGACGTATGATAATAAAATAAGTTATTTCAAGGACTATAGTTTCTCTTAATATTGTATATTGATGTTATTTTATAGCAAAAATAACACTTTCAAATTTATCAAAATTTTATATTTTTATTATTGTCTATTAAATCAAATGCACAACATTTCAGATGATGTTAAATAGGTTAGATATTGAAGTCAGGTCAATGAATTAGGCAAAAAGTTGATTTTCATTGTATTCAAACTATACAAGTTTAGGTCGTTTCAAGATGAATAGAAATTTGAATGAACTGTGAATCGAATTTGAGTGGATGTTGAATTTTTTGGTTGGTTAAAGATGTGCGATCTCTGTGTATAGAATATAATTTTAATTCCTTATACATAGACATCTACAAAAAAAAATTAAAAATGATTATGATCTATTGGATCTTTCATATATTAAAAAAAAGTTGGAATTTGGAATTTGGATCTTTTATAATTTAAAAATTTTATTGTTAAATATGAGAAAAATGCAATA